CGGTGACTAAACTAATGTGAAGTCACCATCTATTTTTAGCAATCAAAGTCACAAAAATGTTCTTCGCGGTTTCGTTGATGCGAAAATGGTACCTTCCACTGATTAACAAATCCCAATTCCGATTGCAGAATATAAGGCCCCCGATAAAGAAGAGAGAGAGAGAAAATTTAGCTGCTTCATCCGTCTGGGTTGAAAAACCAAACTACTGTCGAACTTCAGAAGGATAGGAAATACCCGATAATGCTTGATGAACGTTCACCTGACCACTAACGGGACTCACCTGTCGCGCTCTGCCTTGGGCCTCGCCAGCCTTAACAGCTGGTAGAGGTCAGTTGAACGTTAATCAACGATTGTCAATAGCCCTGACTTAAACCGGCTAGGCAACGAGTTCGCGGCTCAGTGGTTAGGGCGTTTGACTCTAATCAAAAAGGGTGCGAGTTCGAGGCTCGTGTGGGACACCACTTGGGTCTGGGTATCACTGACTGACGACGGCTAATAAACCGGAAATGGCCATTCCAGTCTCCCTTGTCTTTGCCAGCAATACTATCTGCAAATAACTTATAATCAGAATTTCAGCGGTTTAAAATAGATCGGCTTCACTTTACGGAAAAATGGTCAGAATCGCGACGACACTGCAGCCAGGGGAATGCTACTCAATGACTGTTAGCTAACATTCAAATCGGTCAACAAATCTGGCCCCAAATTTGAAAAATTCAGAATTCCGGGATAAGAATTAGAGTTCATTTTCTGCTCACCGGAATAAATTTGTAGGTTTGCAGACGTTTCGGACAGCTGGGCCGGCTGTCGAGGAATATGTGGTGAAAATTGATCTCACGGAAGGATAGCAGGCGTATTACTTTGTTCAGTGCAACTGGAGATCGTCACAGGAAAGTCTTCAATCAACAACAAATAAGCCCTTCCCCCTGTGATTTGAGTGGTGTTTCCGAAACAGAGCAGCAGGAATGCAAACTCGGACGGTACTTTGAAAATTATCTATCGGATGCGCTAAGACTTGACAGCAGTAATTGACAGGATTTTCACTACGCAGTCTTCGACTGAAAATTTCTATATTCTTTTCGAAATTTGGTTGCAAATAACACAGAAAGGACTTTCAGCCGAGCTTGGGCCTACTAAGTGAAAGGTTGCTTTGAAAATCATTCGAAATGTCAATTAACCGCACAAAGTTGCAGCCACGGCCAGCAACGGTAGGTTGTGTACGTCCCCTTAGTTACCACCGACTCCCAGGCTCGTGCAAAACGGAAATTGGGGTTTTCAATATGGGCTCTCACCGCGGACAAGCAGTCAAGTGTATGCAAGGAAACAGAAAAAACGAATACCTTTCAGCCACATTTATTCTTCTAGATGAAACTAAATTGATAGTAATATTCAAAAGCAAAAATATGCTCTGAATAAATAAAAGAAAGTTGAATAACAAAAACCAAAATAAAATAATGTTGTGCATGCCGTTATATGAGTTAACCCACAGAGGGTTACTTCCCATAGCTGGGAGGTAATAAACCAAAACAGGCCAGGCTATTTATTCTAAATCCGAGGGCTTGCATAACCTATCCGTAACCAATGGTCTTTAATGGGTAAAGGAAGGGGGGGGGGCAACGCTGGCGAAAATATAATGAAACCCGCCTGGCCACGGATAACGAACATTCCCCCCAGGCAAGTGAAATAACCTACCGTTGTAGTATTCGAAAAACATCTCTCCAAACAGTTGGAAGTAGGGGTAGTAGAAGATGTTGAAGACGAGCTCCCAGTTGTATTCAGTGGAGCGGGGGAAGAGCAAGACCTGCACTGCTGCACCATAGGCAAGCATAATGAGGAAGAGGATGACGGCTGCATTGAGTAGCTGTACCCACATCTTGTTAATCATGACCACCAGGGGACCGTAGTACCGGGAGATCATCATCAAATTGAGTAGTTTGGCGTTACTCAGGATGACTAAAGGGAATGGAACAAACAAGGGGCATAACAGACCAGGAATAGGTAGGTAGTCCCTTTCTAGTGTGACTGTTTCATAAAAACTTCGCGCAGAAAAAGGATGGCAAGTGGAATACGCTTGGATGTGCTATAATTTTCGGAGGGGCTTTAGGCAACGGTGGTGAGCTGGACGAAATGCTAAGTTGTGATAGTACAACCTCTACAAATAAGTAGAGTGACAGTATGAGCGAATTTGATGATGGTGGTGCGCCCGATCCCGCCTCGGTGTTGACACAGGCTTCAGGTGGTTCAGGAGAGAAAGGGTGTGGTAAATGCTGTGCGAGTCTACTATCACTTAAAACTTACTTAAGGGGAAGTCACCATCCCTGCACCAACCTGTCTGGAGCATACGGCGGACATAATCGAAATCGGTGGTCGAACTGTCTGTGGTGGTGGTGGTGATGGTGGTGGTGGTGGTGGGGATAACGATGATGTTGTCCAAAATAGTACATATTATGATGATAGTGACAATGACAGCGACAGTAGTAGCAAAAGTAGGATTTGAGTTGACCTAATTGTGAAACAACTCGAGGCGTTCGGCGGGATTTGAACCGTCCTAGTAGAGAAGGCCTTTACCGGAAGCTAATGCTCTAACCGCTAAGCTAA